CCCTTTTAAGGCTTTAGGTTGGGCTAGATGACGTGGCAATTTAATTTGGTGCGTCGAAATTGTATTTTTCTAGTTTAACACTCAAATTGATGAATTAGGATGTGAAATTTGGCGTGCTAGGGTTCTTCGAGTCTCTAAACATAGTGGTAAGGTCTGATTGTAGAAATAGGGTCGGGATGATTGAGATCTATAACTGACAAGTTTGGATCAATAAGATTTGCTGAAATATAATCTTTATTTAATGATGGGTCAGATGGAGGAATTTTGGGATGAAATTTGGTGGGCTGGCACTTTTGAACGTCTTGAATCTAATGGAGGTGATGGATCTTTGATCAGAAGTATAAATTGATTGACTTATTTCATATCTTGGTCTTAGCTTATGGTTTTCCAATCAACAAGAGGGCCCAAAATAGAATCTTACTTTTTCAATGGTCAAACGGAGGTGTTTGTTCATGAAATTTGATATGCTAGGGTTTTTTGGATCTCTGAACCTAATGGTGAGGTCTGATTGGCCGTATGAAGTTGGGATGATGGATGGTTGGCTCTAATTAATGAGATTTGTCGGAATAGGATCTAGGCTTGATGGGGGGGTTAAATGAGAGAATTTTGAGCTACAATTTGGTAGGTAGGCGTGGATTAGGGTGAGGTTAAGTGGATGGTTCTGATTTGAGAAAGATATGGTCGATCTTGTAATCATTTAGGGCCATCTGAATGGGATCTTGATGTTTTTGCGGTTGATTGCTGTAGATTTGTGGTAAGATTAGCTAGTTGATTGTTTTCTAGTGATCTTGGGGGGATGGATATGTTGGATTTGATTTTGGAGGAGTTAGAATTTGGATATCAGATAGACCGGGCCATTAGAAAGGAAATTGGCGTGATGAATGGTGAACCTTTGCAATTTAATCATGAAAAGTGATGTATAACTAAGTTGTAATTTTCCAAGTGTGTGGATGATGTCTGATCAAGGTTCTTATTTGTCTAGTGGATTCCTTCAAAAGGGGGTATTTCGGATTTTAGAGAGTGTCACGTCAATATGGTTGTGTTTCTAAGTTTTCGGGGTCTAAGAGGGGGTACAAAGTGGTAGGGTGAAGAGACTGAGCAAAAATTAGGTGCTAACACTTGTCTTCACTGCAGATCAAGTCTACTGCTTCTCCCATGACTGTTGCTAGTTCTAACACTTCATCGGACTCTCCAAACGGTTCCGCCTCCCCCAAAATTGGACCTCATGGATTGCATCCTCTTTAGGACATACTTGATAATATGGTTTCGGTTGAACCTCAGAATTCTGCAACTTCTCACCAACAGCCTATGGTTACTCGGTCTATGGATGGTTCCTTGCCTCCTCGTTCTCACCTTTCTATCAAGTATCCGTTACCCCAATCATTGTTGGCTCAATCTCGTGATGATACTACGGAACCGTCCTGCTACTCGAAAGCGGTAAAATCGGCCCATTGGCATGAGGCTATGACAAAAGAGTTCAACACTCTTGTCAACAATGGTACTTGGACCCTTGGACCATATTCCTCTCATTTGCATGTAGTAGGGACCAAATGGATCTATAAGGTGATTCAGAAGGCCAATGGAACCATTGATAGATACAAGGCCCATTTGGTTGCATAAGGTTTCACTCAAATCCTCGGGGTTAACTCTACTACCACTTTCAGCCCGGTTGTGAAACATGTAACCATCTGCACTATCATCTCTCATTGTAGTCTCTCGACAGTGGTATGTTCATCAAATTGATTTTGATAATGTTTTTCTTAATGGGGGACCTTCGCAAGGATATATATGTTAGACAACCTAAGGGTTTTGAAGACCCTGCAAGACCAACTCACATCTGCAAATTACACAAAGCCCTATATGGGCTTCATCTAGCATCGCGAACTTGGTATGCTCGCCTTACCTCCCAACTAGTCCAAGATGGGTTTTCGGGCTTCTACAACTGATACATCCTTGTTTGTATACTGCTCCAAAACCGTCCCCATTTATCTTCTCATATATGTGGACGATGTCCTACTGGTAGGGAACTCTATGGATGCCATCAGTTCCTGCATCATGGAGCTCTCTCGTCATTTCTCCCTCAAAGATCTGGGGTCTGCAACCTTCTTTCTCGGTACTGAGTTCATTCGGCATCCTCATGGGGTTCTTCTCAGTCAATGACGGTATATCACTGACCTTCTTCAGCATGCTCACATGGATTCTACTAAGCCTATCTCATCCCCTATGGTAGTCCAACCTAAGCTTTCTCAACATAGTGGTTGCCCACTTGAGGATCCTATCAAATATAGAAGCATTGTTGGTGTCCTCCAATATGTGGCCATCACTCATCTGGACATTTCCTTTATAGAAAGCAAAGCATCCCAGTTTCTTCAATCCTCTACTGATGAACACTAGACAACAATTAAATGGATCATGTGTTACCTCAAACACACTATCATGCATGGTCTGAACCTATCACGGGATTCCTCTTCTCTCACTCTTCATGCGTATTCTGATGTAGATTGGGCTGGTTGTCTAGACGATCAGAGATCCACAAGTGGATTTGCTATCATTTTGGGTCCCAACTTGATTGCTTGGAGTTCCCGCAAACAAGCTACAGTTGCACGCTCTAGCACAGAATCTAAATTCCGTGCATGTGCCACAACAGCTATTGAAGTTCTTTGGATCACCTCTCTCCTCCGGGGTCTTAGTGTCACTCTCTCTGATGCTCCTACTATTTGGTGTGATAATATTGGAGCTATCTATCATGCTGCCAACCCCATTTTTCGTGCCCGCACACAGCATGTTGAGGTTGATTTTCATTTTCTTTAGGACCTTGTTCTTGTACGTCGGCTGAGTGTTCAGTTTATTTCCTTTAATGATCAAATTGCTAACATCCTCACCAAACCTCTCGCGGGTGATCGGTTCTGCTTCTCGCAAGACAAACTCCATGTCCTCGATGAACATAGAGCTTGAGGGGGCGTATTGGAGATACACATCCACGTGTACCTCCCTTATCCTTATTCGATTAGATAGCTATCCTTAGGATAACAATTATCCCTTGATCCATAGGATAATTGTTATCCTAATGAGATGATCACTCTTGTTCTTATCTCTATAAAGCTCTATCAAAGATAGAGTCCTTGTTGTACACCTCTTGCCATTATAAATAAAGGTTAACGCCGATGCCCTTCTTATCGTGCCAGATTATTATTTTCAAGATCTTTGATTCTAACTAAGATAGTTGAAAACTATCAACTATTCATAGTAATAGTTTTTGTTTTTTGATTGTTCTTTCTTTTTTCCCTTTTATTTTAATGATGCCAATGAGGAAGAAAATGGGTTCCAAATTCAATAGGTACTTTGCGAGTATTTTTATTGTTTTATTTTTCATATGGTTTGAATGAGAGCGAATCACATTAAAGAATTTTAAAATGATACACAGATATGGACAAATTGAACCTTTGCTAAAACTTAGCTAATCAAACTACAATGGATTTTGATCAAACCAAATAAAACCCATAAAAGAAATTAACCTTTCTACAAAGAAATCAAGAGGAGCTAAGAAAGTTGTTGTTTATCTTCTATAAGCAACCAACACCCTAAAGCTCATGCCATCAATAACAGTTAATTTGTACAAACATTTCTTTCTTTTTTTCTGTAACCAATTTGTAGAAAGCATTCACTCCTACAAATATGATCTTATTTGAACAAGCACTACAGCCATGCTTAACAGGCTTCAACCGGTGAATGATGTCGTAGAAATCTCTAGCCATAACAACAGAACTCTGTTTTTCAATAGAGGAAGAAATATATATAGAGAAAGAGTGATAGAAAGTTTAAGAAGAATGGGAAGGGAAGTTCTTGAGTTGGCTAAACTACTTTTCAGGTGGGCTGACAAATCTGCCTCGTTAAATCCATTTATTTCCATTAAATTTGAAATCACAAAATGGAGATGTGTTCATTTTTTGCTGGTGATCATCCGGCGACTGTGGTCGCCCGCCGGAGATCTGAGCTGATCAACTACATTGGCCATATGGTGAGAAAGTACCTGATGGTTCAGTTTTTGTCACAAACCGGAGCTTGTTCTCCTTTCCCTTATTTTCGTTATCAATGTGCATGTGACCATGTCTAGGGCATTGTAAGGAGGGAATTAATACCTAGATTTCAATAATGGGTTCATGGTTCAACTTCAACCACTCTTGTCTAGGCCATCTCTGAACAATGGCAGAGTGTAGGTCACCTCAGAACAGAATGGTAGACATTCTTCAAGGAAGAACCAAAGCCCACGTCTGTTCATTGTCCCTTGTATAGAGAAGGGCATTTCCAAGCACAGTGATGGTTATTCTAGTAGAAGGGAAGTGGGTGATAGTGTAGGTTCTAACCAAGCTCTCAACCTTTACTAGAAGAAACCTGTGGGACAAGGTATGAAGAACCACGAGAATTGGGACATTGAGATGCAAATACAATCAGCCAATTGATACTTGATCTTCATGCATCTGCAATTAATGAGTGTGGATAAACGGAACTGTACAAAAAAACATAAGAGGCCCCATTAGCTTTTCAGTTAGTTACTTACTGGGGTAAGTGTTTCTAAGATAAATAAGATATGACCATTTCCCATATCCAATTATTTGCAACTTTCCTTTAGGTGTTACCCACTTGAGAGATGGGTATTCCGGTATTACCATCTCCCTGATCCCTACATAAATCTGAAAAAAAAATATGGGTTTCTAAATCCCATTGATCACCAACTTTCACTCCTCTCAAAATCCAGAAAACAAATGCCCCCACAGAGAAAGAATCTGATAATAAGGTGAATGAGAGAAGGGAAAAGGTGTTTTTTTCCCTTGTTTTCATTCATTCATATCCACCCAGAATGCTTTAATCAGATAAGATTGTCTTCAAATTTTCAATTGACAATACAAGAAAGGTATTTCCACAAAGGCAAGAAATGTTGAGATAAGATAACAGAACGATAGATAAACAATGCAAAGCAAAAGGTTGAAGATGTCACACTATTATTTAACATATATGATCTCTGCCTGTGTAGAAACTCGTTTGAATCGCACTAATTCTATCAACATATGTTCTTCTTTAATATACTTATCAGCACAATCTTTAAGACTCTCACTAACATGAAAAGGTATTACAGTCATTGTTTTGAGCATCGGCGAACGACCAAGGATAAACTTTATCAACTGGAGTTCATGTACTAGACCATGCACATCCTTCATTATCACTATTTGAAGTTGATTCAAGGAGCAACCCAAGTGGCATTGCATCTCCCAGAAATCCATGTCATCAGATGGATGTTCCGTGTTAAATCCTACCAAAGATTCAGACTGGAGAAAGATGCAAGACCTCAATGAATACAATCTATATTAATTGGATGATAAAAGGATGTAGATGTTCATAAATGAGAATGACTGACCCGAATTTTAAGCAGTTGTATGTTGGGAGAGCTTCTGATTAAGCAAAGAGCAGTTAAGATCTCAGACGATCTATGAAAGGCGATACACAAATCAAGATTCTTCAGATAAATAAGTGTAGTGGGAAGTCTTTCTGGTATATGATCACCATACGAGGAAAACTATCAAGAAGGAAAACAGAAAACGCACCCTCATTTCAAATGCTTTCAGATGAATACATAACTAAGATAATTTAAAAATATGGAACAAAAGAAGAAAAGAGTACATACCCACCACATTCCGTGTAGATAAAGCTTTTCAAGATGGATGAGACTATCAAAGACCAGTGGCCACATGGAAATACAATTTTGGTCTGCATTTCTAATTTTAGGATGATAGAATAGACTAAATTTAGCATCAACTAATAGTGGGCTATGTTGTATGAAAATTTCTATGAATTCACCCCAAACATTCAAGTACTTGAGATTTGGACCATAGACTTGAAGAGAGCTTAGGCCATGAATATCCTTTATGAACAATTTCTCAAGAAGTGTGCAGCTGGTAATCAAACTTCTCATTATATCATCTGTACAAGTAACACATTGAAGCCAGAGTGTTCTCAAACAAGGAAAGCTTTTGAATGTTGGAGGTGGTATAAACACACAATTTCGGAGCTTCAACATTCTCAAATTTTGACAAGTAAAGAGAGAAGAAGGCACAACAAACTGCTGTTCTTGATCACGACAATACCACATTTCTAGGACAAATTCCTTTATCCCATTTCTTGATAAAAAGACAATCCATTGATCTATATCAGAGCAACTTCTCAGCTGGCATGAATGAGATATCTTAAACCTGTCAATTGGACCTGTATGAAGCAAGAGAGCTCGAGCAACAAAGTTCACAAATTTTTCCATCTTCACAAGTGGGTCTTCTTTTGAAGAAGAAGTTGGTATGCATCTGTAATCAAATTCCAAAGTTGGAATGGTAGCCCATTTATACCTCCATCCTCTTGATAAGATACTTGTTCTCACAGCATCCCTTATCGGCATATGCACAAGTATGTGTTGTATAATGGCATCAGGTAGGTTACTGAGTACATCTTGAGCCAAAATATTATCCATACCCACTCTGAGTGAGAGAACTTGTTCCACCCTAGCTTCACTTCAACTCTGAAAACCCAAAATCCCTAGCTTGCATCAGCTCACATACTACACATATGAACAACCGAAGGCTTAAACAATGGCAAAATTACCATATATGAAGGAAATATGTATACTAAAAATCAAATAAAAGAAGGAAATAAATGAACTATCATCCAAATGTCCAAAGCAAAATGGAAGAACTGGGCAAGACAAGATCAGAGGCAAAGAGAGCAAATTAATGATGAAGTATGTACTTGCCTCTGAACTTTTGGGTGTTCTAATTTCTTCCTTCTATTGAGAGAGGGATGTGGGTTACTCATATTAATTTGATTTTGATAATTTACAAATTCTAATTATTCAACATATTTGATATATGGTAGCTGGATTTATACCCGCTTTATATATATAATACAAATAGAGATAAAAACACCGCTTTATATAATACCAACTTCGTTCATTCCTTACTTGTGATATACGCGAATCAACATTGACCGTTCATGTGGCATATCTTAATAATATTATGGGCACGCAACACCAACACATCAAATAGAGAAGAGCAAATCATATTAGCCTATACCTTGTTTTTAATAACTAATCACCAAAACTAAGATGCCATTTAGCAGTCTTTTTAATTTGAAAATCTTTTTAGAAGAATTGATGGTCAAAAGACGTAATAAGCTTTTAGATAACGATGTTGGCAGCTCAAAGATCGTGGTTGAAGGTGCATCTTTTTGTGCGTTTTTTTGCACAAAGACGAGACTTAAATAAGAGAAAAAAAGGCAAGAAGCCTCATTTTCATTTTTCCAAAATAATCTCGAATCCAACTTCTCATGTCTCTTCAGGGTGTGATCTTTCGGTGGAAAGATCTTCATCCAATTAAACGGAGAAAGACTGAAAAATTAGCAACCGGATTTTTAAAAAACCAACAATCCACGTGAAAAGATACTCTGAACGTGGCCTAAATCTAATGATTTGAGGGGTATTCTTGCTAAACACATGAATTGAAGAGTAAAAACACGTGTGTTCTCTATAAAGCAAATCAGCACCAATGTAATAATGAAGAAGGCACATAACCTATGGAGAGAAACATTATCAGAAAACAAGATAATGACAGGAAGACAAAAACAGTCCATCAGTATTCTAACACCATGAAAGAGAAGAAAAAGAAAATGGGGATATTTAATTATTTCTACCCTTCAATTTCAATGCTTAATGTTGAGATGGGAGGTTGACTTAAAGAGGAAGTAAAGACCGCCCTGGATGGTCAGAACTGAACGTCCCTCAGTTTGTTGCAGCCGCAGAGGAGAGATAATGGAAAAGAAAAATTAGGAAAGAAGAAGAAAGGAAGAAAAAAAGGAGAGAGAAAGCTGCCAGATCCAGTTTGGTTTAGTCCGATCCCCCAGAGAATAAAATGCAGAGAGAGATTAGTGATGAAGGCTCTTCCATCTTTTTGACGTGGATGTTGAAGGAATAAGAAAAACCATTTCTTCATGGTGAAGAGAGGAATACCCCCCCACCCCTTGTTGTTCATGTTCTCTCTTTTCTTAATGGAGAGAGGATTCTATTCCATGGGCTTCATTAACCCTCACATGTAAGAAAACTAATGCAGACAATAAGTGCCTAGCTACCATTAGTAGATCCTTCGCACCGAGAAGACTTGTCTGTTTGTAGCATACAGCATAAGTCGCTTTTTGGGCTTTTTATCGATAAGACAATGATGGAAAGACTCTTTTGAAAGGAAATGCAGAGATTTAAAGCATGTTAAGCAAAGCTTGAGGTCATTTAAGAGAATGTGTGAACGAGAGTGAGAGAGATAATTATATTAGTAGAGAGAGAGAGAGAGAGAGAGGGAGACAATGATAATAGAATAAAATATTAAGAAATCAAATAATCTAAATATGTTGATGTTAAAAATTAAAACATAAAACAATAAAAATAAAAATGTTATTCTAAAAAATATTAATTTAAAAATCACTAAGCTAACACTTAAAAAAATAATAACTATTAATGAAACTCAATAAATATTGAAATACATTTATCTCATAACATTAATAAAAATTAAGAAATTTGGTTTCCTTAAAATGTTAATTAAAAACATTTCCATTCCACTTAAAAATAAAACCTAATAAACACTTACAAAATAAGAAATTTAAATATAAAAAACATATTAATTGATAATTTTAATAATATTATAATTTAAAATCCATTGTACATAATAAATATGTGTTTGCTACATTGCACATAGAACCTGTGTTCTAATGTTGTGTTATGATTTGTTTATTCTTTTGATTTTATTTGATAACTTTGCATTGCTGCATTTTAATTAAATTAAATTAATTAATAATTTTGATGAGTTGGGACCTTTATTGTGCATAGTGCAAATACTACATAAGAGATATATTCTTGGGAGAGAAAGAGAGGGATCGAAATCGAGAGGGGGAGAGAAGGCGACCAACCACCGCTGCAACTTGTTGCAGCTGTGCCGGTGAGGGAATGAGAGAGATGAGTAAGGAGAGAGAAGGAAAAGAAGAGGGAGAAGAAGAAAGGAGGGATGTCGGAGGTTGAAAGACTTGTCGTCACTGCTCTGCCGCCGCTGTGCGTTGAAGGAGTTCAAATCGGCCCCCCACAACGTCCCACAACACATCTCTGCCGTATTGGGAACATCTCCCATGATAATATCCGAAATGATGATGTTATCATTGGGAGATGTTCCCAATACATGGTGAGGATGTCTTGTAGGACACTGTGGGGGCAGTTTTGTGGGTGGCTGATTCGGAGGGGTTCTTATCTGCCTCCACAAATTTGCCCCTCAAAAACGTTCCACACAATCGGAACGTGACTCGTGTCATGAAACACGCGCATTATGCGAGACGCGTGCGAATCACTTTCACGCCATTTCAGGCTCCCCCATCAATTCCTCTCTCGCCCAAAGGGTTTCTTCTCCCAATCTTCCCCATTCACTTCGAATTGAAACCCTTGCCCTTTCGTAACCCACCCACCGGAGATTAACCCAGTCGAGTTCTGTCGGTTGACAGTAAGTAGTCTGTAATGTAAGTTTTTCTCATTTCTTTCTTTTTTTTTTCTCATTTGTGTTTCTAACATTCACAGATCTGAACCCGCTGGAGTGGGAGCCCCCTGATGCTACTTTACACTCCCTTCGATGACCTACCGGTCGACGCCGATGACCATACCGACAGGAGGTAAGTCTTATGCTTTGTATATGATGATTTAAACAAAGCATGTGGTTTGATTATGAAAAAGAGCCAGAGCATATTCACGCCATCCATGAAGACCCATTCCTCTACCTTAAAGAAGACTTACCTCCTACTGGTATGGTCGTCGGCGTCGACCGGTGGGTCACCAAAGGGGGGTGTAAAGCGACGTCAGGGGGCTCCCACTCCGGTGGGTTCAGATCTGTGAATGTTAGAAAATGAATGAGAAAAAACAAAAAAAAAAGAAAAAGAAATGAGAAAAATTTACATTACAGACTATTTACCGCCTACCGGCATGGCTATCGACGTCGGCCAATGGAACTCAACCGAGTTAATCTCTGGTGGGTGGGTTACGAAAGGGCAAGGGTTTTAGGGTTTTGGTTCGAAGTGAATGGAGAAGACTAGGAGAATAAACCCTTTAGGCAAGAAAGGAATTAACGGGGAACCTGAAACGGCGTCAAAGTGATTTCGCATGCGTTTCGCATAATGCACGTGTTTCATGACACCGTCATGTTTCGGTTGGGTGGGACATTTATGGGGGGCAAATATGTGGGGGGCAGATGCGAACCCATGTCAAAGGGAGGAAGAGAGTGAACAATGTATTATTTCAAATGAGAGAGAGGTTTGGTTAAATAGTAGGCGTAGTGGCAGTTTCATAATTTTTGGAAACTTTAGGGGTATTTTGTAATTTTAGGACATTTGGATCAAATCGGTTCTAGGGGTAAACTGGGGTTCTTTGATGGATGGTTGGGATTTCTAAGCCAAAAAATGGAGGGTTAAGATCAGTCTAACCACAAAGGGTTTTGTGTGAGCAGGCTAACGAAATTTACCGAAACGAAATCTTTTTAGATTGAAGGGTAAATGAAGGTATTTTTGGCTAAATTTTACAGAGTAGGGTTTCCTAACATTCTGATTTGATTGGTGGGGTTGGATTGGCCCAAGTGGGCCCAGATTGGGCATATCTAGAAAGGGTTTGATTCGGTTAATTCAGGGGCCTCGAAACAAAATCTTTATGCAATCAAGGGGTAAAAAAGGTAGTTTTGGGTGAAATTTCTTAGGGTAGGGTTTTGGGTAATCTGAGGTGATTGGTAAGGTTAGATTGGGCCAATTGGGCATGGATCGCGTGAATTTGGAATCGGTCAATATGAAGCCTTGAAATGGAATCTTAGTATGATTGAGGGTAAATGGAGGTGTTTTGGGCTGAAATCTTATATGTAGGGGTTTTTTGGCATTCTGGGGTGATTGACAAGGTCTGATTGGTTTAGATGTGTTTGGATTAAGTGGATATGGGTTGTGGGTGCAAAAAGGGTTGAAATATAATCTTTGTTTGATGAAAGGGTAAAATTAGGGAATTTTGGGTTGAAATTTTATGGGCATGTGTATTTTTATATCTAGAGTTAAATGGTGTGGTTTGATCAGTCTGGATGTGTCAAGATCAAGGGAATCTGGGTTCTGAGTGTTTAGGCTAACAATAGAGGTCAAAACGGAATATTTGCTTGATGAGGAGGTAAATAGAGGAATTTTGAGCTGAAATTTTATGGATATGTATTTTGGGAGGCCTTGGTTCTGATAGTGGTGTTGGATCTAGTGGTCGAGGTGCTGATAGGGATTAATCAGGGCCATCAGATCGGTACCAAAGAGGTTTAACAGAGGATTTGGGGGCTTTTGGTCTGAAAATTGGGATTTTTGGGTTTTTAAGTGATTTGGAAGGATCAAAAGAGTCTGATTGGGTGTTTGAGGTAAATTGGAGGTTTAGGTGACGAAGCGAACATAAATCGAATGCTGACAATAACCTACCAAGAACAAATATCATATTATTGTTGTCAAATCTACTTTGTGAAAAGAATTTCTTAATCAAACATTCCTTCCTTTATATATGTTTGTGTTCTGTAAAAGCAAT